CTCAGAAGAGGTCTGACTTTTCTTAGTGATGAGATGTGAGAGCTGTTTCTCCCTTGAGCCCTCATAAAGAGAACTGTAGATCAGTTAGGATAAACTTGCACTGTAAAGAACCAAAAACTCAAAATAACAGTGGCTTGAAGAAGATAGAATTTTTTTTTGAGAGTGCTCTTTTTATTATCCTTGTGAGAAAGAACATATCGTGATGTGAAGTGGGTTCGTGACTTGTGCAGAACTTCCTGTAAACAGCGAGAAAACCAGTGTTCAGTCCTGCATTTTGACATCCTGTCTAGTGTTAACATGGGACCCCCTGACCTGCATTACTAAGATGTAAAGAGACCAGATTCCTGCTTCCTATGTAATTTGTAGAGTGAAGCCAGGCTGCTCAGCAAATGAAGTCATAGCTTGTGGGTGCCACTGTCTGGAAGCATTGCAATCAATCATCAGTATAAGCAGTCCAGGGTTCAAATGGCTCTTGATGGGTGTCAGAAACTCAGAGCCTTGTTCCTCCCCCCCATGGCCCAAGATTATCTTCTGCTCTGGCCAAAATGTCCCCTCCAGCCAGCAGGAAGGAGGGAGCAAGGACATACCCCTACCCTTTAAAGATAGATCCAGGAAGTTGTGGAGCACACTTCCAATACATCCTTTGGCCAGAACTTAATCACATGGCCATACCTTTCCAAGGAAAAGGCTGAAAACCAGAGTCTTTATTCCAGGCCTAGGTAAAAGCAAGCTTTCTGTTTATTAGAGCATAAAGGCAGTACTGTCATCCCTTGGTATCCATGGGGATCCCTTTGGATCCCAAAATCCACGAGGATCCCTTCGGATCCCAAAATCCATGAATGCTCAAGGCCCTGATATAAAATGGGGTATAATTTGCTTGTAACACACATATACCCTCCCATGTCCTTTAAATCATCTCTAGATTGGTTAGAGTGACTAATGCAATGTAAACTCTGTGTAAATAGTTGCTACGCTGTATTGCTTTTTATTTATTAAAAGTTACCTTATTGAAACTTACTTTATCCCAGTTCTGGAGGCTGGAAGTCCAAGCTCCAGCAGTTTGGCAGGGTTGGTGTCCTTGGAGGCCTCTCTCCTTGGCTTGCCGGTGCCGTCATCGTGCTGTGTCTTCATCTTCATGTGGCCTTTCCTAAGTGCACAGGAACCCCTCCTGTCTCTCCTGGTGTCCTAATCTTCTCTTCTAAGAATACCAGGCAGATTCGATTAGGACCCACCCTAGTGGCCTTGTTTTAATTTAAAGATCCTATCTCGAAATTAGTCACATTCTGAAGTACTGGCAGGGGTTGCAGCTTCAATATATGAATTTTTGGTGGGGGGAGAGGAGGAAGCAGCTTGACTGGGGGGAACACAATTCAGTCCGTAATAGACAGAATAGATATGTGAAGACAAGCTGTCGTCCCTTGCCACGTTACCTGCCGGCATCCCTGTAACTGGATGAATAGAATTCTTTGGCATCTTCTGTTCTGGCTCACCTTTTAAATCCAAGACTCCTCAAATTGAATGCAGTGCTTTGGACCCATAAGTGCTCAGTGACTGCTTGCAGGCGATGGTGTTGACTCCCCAAGGAACCATGGGCCTGAGCAGAAACTAGAACTCAGGCTTTCTGATTCTCTACCACCTGCTCTGCCCAGCATGCTGCACTAACTCTTTTAAGTTCTGACAACTAATACACCACCACCCACCATATGGGAACTTCAAGTCATATGTTTTTGTGTCAGATTTTTCATATCAAAGATTACAAGGCCCTAAATCTTTGCACGATTCTAGGGCTTCTACAGAGACCCCAGCAGATATCAAGCTATTTTAAGCCCTTATATGAAAAGCCGTTTGACTCCTTTCTGAAGCATTGTGCTTCGTTTTGTTTTCTGTGGACTCTCTGCAGAAGTTTTAGGAGGTAAGGGCGAGTTGTCACAAGGTCAAAGCCAGTGTACCACTCTAGCAAAAGTTGGAAAATCACTGCCCTCACCTCAGTGGCCTCTCCCCTGGAGCATCCAGTTTGGACAAAGATAAAATGAGCCTCAAACTTGGAACAGTATTTTTTTTTCCTTCCACTTCTCGAACCAGCTTGCAAGCTGTCTCCCATTGAGCCAGAGTGAGACTTTACTTGGCAAAGAGAATTTCACCTAAAGTATGCTGACAGCCTTGCTCCTGGGGCACCTCTCAAATCCACCCCAGGATTCTAGGCTGCCGTTCTTCCCTAGAGAAGGACTTGGCCCCCAAGAGGCTGTGAAGTTTCCAGGGAGAGCCCTGTTGGCACAGCCTGAGACAGTCTCTTCTCCTAGTCCATTTCTGCCCTAGCAACAGCTACCTCCAATGCCGCTTTGGAAGCTGTACAATATAGCTAATTGTTTGCATTGGACAGTAGTGTGTTTAGAGCTTATGCATCTAAACAGACAATTATTTTCTGCTATTTGCTAGTGGCAATGCCTGCCTGGTGACTTTGGCAGATGGAGAAAGGAGCTAATCCATAGGTTATAAGCAGAAGGGTTACTGATGAAATGTCACCATCTGTTGGTGTCATTAAAATGATATGAATCATGAAGAGTTGCTTTTGTTTTTTCTCAGAAAAAGGTTAGCTCGAAGTTGAGAGACAAGTTGCTAGATTGTGGATAGTAGTGATGAACAGAGCTGGGGGAGGCATCAGTGCCAGAAGCGGGAGGAGCCTTAATGAACTCATCAGCTTGATGGGTCTTCAGGCAAGTTGATTGACCCTCTGCTGGAAAACAAATCCTCTCTCTCATGTGAGATGGAGTATTTATTAAGAATGCGGCAGTACCCCAAGGCTCCCATGCCCATTTCTGGGGCATCTGCCAGGTGGGAAGGGGAAAATGATTCATTTGCGTTAAATAAGAATGATCATATCTGGGAGGGAACAGACAGGAAAATATACCTGTCTCCTTAATCCACATTGGCTCCATGGCACAGAGATTATTCACGTAGCCAGGTGACACCTTGGGAGGCTGGTGAGCCCAATAGGGAATAATATTCTCTACACCTGCTACATCCACAAGGGAGAGAGGAGGTGGCATAGAAGAGGGACCAGAGCCGGCACACCAAGCTTCCATCAAAGATGGGAGCTCTGAGGATGGAATCAAGAAAGCAATGGATGGAGTAACATGAGAATTTCATAGCAAAGAAATAGGAAGTGTGAGGTGTGCATTTATAAGGATCCAGGGGACCAAAATAAACGGCCAGCTTCCTGATTCTGCCTTATTATTATAACTAATCCCCTTAATTTCCTCATATTTGCTGTTTACAAATTCTTTTACCCACTGCCAAGGACATATACCCAAAGCAGAAGAACCTGTTGTTACCAACCTTTTTCAATATGGCTTATTATCCCTTTTTTATTATTTATTTCAAAATTTAACTCCTAGAGACAGTTGAAGAGATTGTATAAACCACTGCACATACTTTCGACAGGACCTCAGGTTTGCCAGATAAATATGAGATAGCACTGCTGCGAGCCCGGCCTCTCATCCAGTACTGACCCTCCTGGAGGCCAGCTGACCTAAGCCTGCCACACCTGCCACCTCTTTAGGGGCACAGGCGCTGGAGTAGGGTGCTGTTACTGTTTGGAAAGTGTGCGGTGCTGGAAGCAAGAGCCCCAGGAATGAGAGCTTTCTAAAGTTATTTATATGATCTCAAAAGGAAGCATCAGTGGAAAAGTTCCTGTTGATATTTTTAGATCTCATGCGTGGTCCACTGCTGCACTTTCATTTTTAAACAAGCAGGGAAGCGAGTGATTGATGATGTCTACAGTGCTGTTTTAGAAGTGCTGAGGGCCCATCTGACAGGCTAATGGTCACCCTGCTGGGCCCAGATCCTCCCTCCGTCTCTTCCAGCTCTGACTTCAGAAGCTGCTGACTTCAGTGGCTGACAAATAAAACGCTGGCCACTGGCTGCCAAGTCAGAAACTCTGAAGTTTGTTCCCTGGCTCTGACACCCAAGTCAGTGTCTTGCTCGACTTCTGCCTTCTGTTTCTGAGGACTGAGACATATGTTTGCATAAGTCACCTTTGGCTACAAGTACAATGGTTTAGAATTCAACTGTGGTTAAGCAGGTGAAAAACTCACAACCTGAGAAGGGTGTGGGGGTGAGAGGGAGAAATGAAGAGAGGTTGGTCAATGGATACAAACTTAGTTAGAAAGAAGAAATCAATTCTAATGTTTCATGGGAGGCTAGGGTAACTATGGCTAGCAAAAACACACTGTATATTTCAAAGTAACTAGAAGAGAAGGCTTGGAACATTACCACATGTAGAAATGATAAACACTCAAGGTGATGGAGACCCCAAATACCCCGACTTGATCATTAGACCTTCAATGCATGGGAAAAAAAAACATGTACCCCATAAATATGTAAAATATCAATGAAAGAAAAAAAAACTCACAACTACACAAAATCGATGTGCTTGACTCTTCCAAGGCCAGTGGGAATTAACCTCTCTTAGTAGTATTACTGAATTGTTTCTGTGGTTACTTTCATTTGCCTGATGGAGATCAGTGTTCTAAAAAACAAAGAGAGAAAGAAATATTATCAGTGCTCTCCTTCCCAAGGAATCTGAGTCTTGTGACTCTGTCTTCAAGGAAATGGGAAGATAGGGAGATGGTGGTCATCAAGTCTTCTCCTCCACAGACACAGTTTCTCATAAGAAGGTGGTGAATGGTAGTTGTAGCCCACTCCAGTTGAATAATCAGTTGATGAACATGAGAAGCTGATGAGTGTTCAAGGAGAGAAAAGAAAATTCTTATATGCTTATGGGTTGGCAATGTTCCTAGGGCAGTTTGTTCCTAGGACTCAGACTATTGCTGTTTCTTACAAACCTCAAAAACCCACGTATGAAGCCACTGGCTTGAGTCCGGAAAACTCCTGTTAAGATACGGAGCTTCCGCCCTTGCTTTGTGCTCCTACTGTTGTGCCTGTGTATATTTCAGTTTTTTTTTTTTTTTTTTCATTTAATTGTACCTTTTCTACCACAGACTACAGAGACAGCTGACGATGAGGAGGACCAGCCTCTCAGCCTTGCCTGGCCTTCCGAAACTCGCAAGCAAATCACGTTTCTGATTGTTTTCCCCATAGTGTTTCCTCTCTGGATTACCTTACCTGACGTTCGCAAACCTGTAAGTAAAGCATTTTTAAAATAGTTTCCTTGTAAAAAGTATGGTACATAACAGGGTGCATCTGCTTCAATTTGTGTTGAAAGGAAAAAGGAAGTACACTTGTATAAAAATTTCACATGTACCCTATAAATAGGTACAACTGTTATGTAACCAAAAAAAATTTAAGTTTAAGGAAAAGGAGATAGTGTATATAAGATACAAATTTCTCTGGGTAATCACACAGTTATGGTGATTGTTCAGATTATCAGATCTGTGTAACTACCCCAAAACTTACTGGTGTGAAACAACCTGTATTTTAGTCTGTCGATCAGGAATTTGAATAGGGAACACTGTGGAGGGCTTGTCTCTGCTCCATAATGTCTGTGGCCTGAAGCAGGAAGACTTGAAGGGTTACTTGTGTCTTGTCTTGGGGTCACAATCATCTGGGGGCTTCTTTGCTGTTTCTGGCACCTGGGCAGAAATGATTCAAAGGCTAGGCTCAGCTGGGACTGTCTACTGGAATGCCTAAACGTGGCCTCTTCATGTGACTTGGGCTTCCTCATAGCATGGTGGCCTCAGGATAGTGAAGTGCTTTACATAAGAGGTCAGTCAGGACTCCAAGAGTGAATGTTGCAGTGACAGAAGACAGAAGCTGCATGGTCTGTGATGATCCCATCCCAGAAGTTACAGACACTCACTTCTGCTTTACCTTACTGACCAAAGCAGTCGTAAGTGTGTCCTGATTAAAGGGGAGGAAACAAAAAGTCTACCTAGAAAAGATCAGTGTCATATGGCATGTCACTGTCCTGATGGGAAGAGTGTCAAAGAATTTGCAACCATGTTTTAAAACCACCACAGTGATCGTCTCTGAGAAAGGCCACTGAAGGTCTGAAGCAGGAAGGCTATTCACTTTTTCTTACATATTCTTGAGACTATGAACATTATTACTCAATTAATTCAAAAAATAATTTAAAGAGATGCATTTATGTAGTATAAAGGCCTACATGTCTGATGTTCTCTCTCTTATGTTACTATCGTTACTTTAATCAATTTTATTATCTACCGTTATATACTGGGTGCTCCGAACACAACATCAGCAAAGTACAATCTGAGTATAGACCAAATCAAGAGAATACCCCCACCCACTGTTGTTGAAGTGAATCCTTGGGCCATTGCCCCAGAGGTTAAAAAAAACAAAAAAAAAAATCTAATGAGAAAGAAGGAAAAGCAGCTCTACCTCTTAGTATAGCACCATATACACAAATTCATTCAACAAAACTGTATACCTAATATGCATCAGATTCTGCACTAAATGTTCCTCATGAGTGCGTAGAACAGCACACAGTATACTCGGAAATCCAGTCTATCCCAGGGCTGGCACTTGGAGCAATGAGAGAAAGCCCCATGGCTACCCTGCCCACGCTGCAGGGGCTGGCCGTGAAAGGGGGACTGCACAGGGAGAAGAGCGTCAGGGACAGCTCCATTTGCCTGTTCTGTGCATCAGCCAGGGCGGTTGTTATAACCCAGGTAACTGCCTTGATTGATTCCTGTTGATTTGCCAGCAGTTGCCAGTCAGGAGACTTTGATCTTCTCTACCTTCTTGATCTTTCAACTCAGATTGTCAAAAGGATGAACATTTTGCCAGCATTTATTCCGAAAGTCCTTCCCAACCCCGAGAGCCCAGGGCCTTGAGTTATTAGCCCCCAATGAACTACACTGTGGAACTTCAGCAAACATCTAGGGTAGGAATCTGTATATTACTGGCATAAGTAGAAAGAAACTTAGGCACAAAGAAGCTAACTAATTTATACTTGGCCATTTCCCAGCAGGTAAGGCTGAGACCCAGACCCAGGTCTATGTGACCACGTTGCTTGGCCTTTTCTTCATATTTTTATGATGCCAGAGGTAGAAAACTGGGGGAAAAAAAAAAAAAAACACATTTCTAAAAGCACTTGGAATAGAATATTTTGATAACTTCCAGTATAATTTATCTTAAGTCTCCAAGCGCTCCCTCATTTGAAAAAGAAGAAAAACCCCATCCCATTCACCTGGCCCTTAAATAATGCAGCCTAGTGGAGAGCCAGGTCTTGTCAAGTAGGCAACAAGCAAGGACTACTTCTTGTAGGGACTCCCAACAGAAGAGGGTTCCTGGTAAAAGATGCATGACACAGGTGTGGCTCACTTAAAGCAATATTTAGGTTTCTTTATTCAAGATGCCATTATAGAGCATCTGCACTATGCAAAGGCCTGTCCCTTCCTGAAAACCCACAAGCAAACAAACAGTTGAATGTGTTTGATTTTTCTTGGCTCATACCACATTGACACTTCTGAGATACGCTTGCTTTCTCTCCTGCTCCCTCTTCCCCCCATTGCTCTGCTGTTTAGTGCAATGCTTTTGTTTGGCCCTAGGGAAGAAAATCAGGGAGTGACAGATAGTTTTCTAAATTCCCAAAAAGGGCCTCATGTGGTATGGCCCCCAGCAGAGGGGCCAGTTGGCTGATGAGAGGATGTTTGCACACAATTGTTGAGGCAGTCAGGAAGATGTGCAGGAATGGGAGGAAGATGCCAGGAAGGCAAGGCCCTTGGCTCTCAGGGTTAGGAGGAACTCTCAGAGAAAGGGCTGGCAAAGTGTTCATCCTCTTGGTAATTCGAGGTGAAAGGTCAAAGAAGCTGTTAGAGAAGATCAAAAGCTCCTAACTTCCTAACTGGTAACTTTTGGAAAACCAACAAAAGTCAATCAAGGCAGTCGTTACTGGGTCAGGACAACTGCTCTGGCTGGTGCTACAATCCCAAAAGGCACAGAGCAAGAAAACAGAGCTGTCCACAGTGTCGTTCTCCCTGTGCAGTCCCCCTTTGGGAGGTGGCCTCTGCAGCTTGGGCAGAGTAGCCAGTGGGGATTTCCTTCATTGCTCCCCCAAGTGCCAGCCCTGGAATGGACTGGATTTCTATTCTTTTTCTGAGTATATTCTATGCTGTTCCAAGCAGAAATAAGAGACACTTATGAAGGACACTTTTTTCAACTTCCTTCATAAATATTTATTGAGCACCTATTATGTGCCAAACACTGGGTCTCCGCTAGTGTTTAAGAGATCTAAAGACACAGAATTGGCCAGTGCGGTGGCCCACACCTGTAATCCCAGCACTTTGGAAGGCTGAGGCTGGTGGATCACAAATTCAAGAGTTCAAGACCAGCCTGGCCAACATGGTGAAACCCCATCTCTAGTAAAAAAAAAATCAAAAAATACAAAAATTAGCCAAGTGTGGTGGCAGGCACCTGTAATCCCAGCTACTTGGGAGGCTGAGGCAGGAGAATTGCTTGAACCTGGGAGATAGAGGTTGCAGTGAGCCAACTGCAACCACTGCATTCCAGCCTGGGCGACAGAGCAAGAATCTGTCTCAAAAAAAAAAAAAAATGTACAAAATTCACTATTTCTATTGTTAAGGAGCTCTAAGTTTAGTAGAGCAAACCAGGCATGGCCACATATAACCACAGAGCAAGATTGTACAGCTGTGCAAGAGAAGCTGGACTTGAAACCAAGTCTCTTGACTCCAGAGCATTTTCATTCTACCACACTGACAGTGAAGGATTTTACCCCCACAACTGATGAGCTGTACAACATTGGGAAAAACACTTCTCATCCCTGGGCCCCATTTTTTCTCCTCTGTGAATCAAGGGTTGGAAGGTCTCTAGATTCCCTGCCAGTCATGACATTCTGTAATTAAGGAAAGCATAAAAAGATAACCATCAATAAGCTATTGCACATGTAAGGTGAGCATACATCCCAGTTTACCCAGGACAGTCCCACTTTATTCTCAAAGCACATTGGTTTGGAAGATAAATTATATGGGTATATTCTGCATATACGATATACCAAATGAAAGAAACCATGCCAGTTAACACAGAAGCCTATAAGTGATCATGCTTAGTTAGAATATTGTTAGGTTTGACCTTCTATCAGTTATCTTCTGCTGTATAATATACCATCCCAACCTAGTGGCTTGAAACAAGGCATTTTTTAACCCATAATTTTGTGAATTGGCAATTTGGGGTGGGCTCAGCTGGAAAGTTCATCTGCTGGTCTTAATGGTGCTCACTTAACATGGCTGGGAGCTGGTTGGCATAGGGCTGTCGCAGCTTGAACACCTTGTCTTTGCTCTGCATAGTCTCTTATCCCAAAGCAGGCTAGCCTGGACTTATTCACATAATGGCAAAGTGCCAAAAACATCAAGCATGAAAGCTACAAAGCGCTCTTGAGATCTAGTTTGAAATTTGCACACTGTCACTTCCAATACATTCTATTGGTCAAAGCAAGTCATAAGGCCAGCACAGATTCAAATGATGGAAAAACAGACCTCACCTCTTGATGAGAGGAGGAGCAAAGTATTGTGCCGATTTTTGCAATCCACCATAGAACTCATGTACTTCCACAAGGAACTCTTGAAAAAATATCTAGGGAGAGGAAAGAGAGAGGAAAATTATTAACTAATACATATCTGCTCCACCTTAGGGCCTGGTAGCTCTGCCTCCTCCCTAGATTTTGATTACCCAGGGAGACAAATCTTGATATTAATTACAAGGAAAACATGATTTTGTAATGTATACATATGGTTTCAGAGTATATAGTACTCCCACTAGCTTTTATTTCTGCTTCATTTATCTGCAAATTGTATGACAGTGTTTGTTGAACCATGCATAATTTTAACTCATATTAATTAATATGGGCTTCACACTTACAGTTTTCTTAAATTAATAGCTTTCTTTCAAAAGTAAAAGAACTAAAATAATAAACCTCAATGAGGAACAAGTCTTTGATGAAAATTGAAAATAATAAGCAAATTAAAGACCCAAAAAATTATCTTCTGTCATGACTAGGATAGGTACTCCTGCAATACAAGAATTCATATAATGAGATATTATAACATGGCCCATTAGAACTAGGAAGGAACCTGAGAACTCAGCTAGGTGTTGCAATTTCTGTTATTCATTCACCAAGTATTTATTGAGTGTCTATTATGTACCA